GTTCTAATCCTATTCAAGTTTGTTTTAGGATTCGCTAAGGAACTTTTAGTCATGCCTTGTTTATCTGGAAACTACTTATGGAGCATGAATTTTTGTTATATGATCTAGAATGGTTTATTTTCTGAGTGGTGAAGAATTTTGTAGTAAATTAAATTTCTACAATTACAGACAATGGTCTAGCCGAAAAAATTGTTGATATTGTTGCAGATTTATATTTAAGAATAGTAATTTTTATAGAAATATTGTTTATATTATTCCTTTAAACAAATGTTTGGAGAATTTGTATTTTGTTTTATGTTGTGGCTTCTATTTAGGTATTGCTTGATCTATCATTTTTCACCCTATGTGCTGAACACTTTTCTCTGTTTTTCTAAACAGATGTGTGACATATTATTCTCCCAATTGTGCCTAAGAGTTCCTCCAACTGCAGCTCTGCCCTTTGGAGATGATGTTCACCATGGCAGAAATTTAAATCACACTAATGTAAGTAAAAGGTTTGATAGAGCTAATCATGTTGTCAGGCAAGATACTTTCCACAGGGATGAACACAAGGAGGAAGCTAATAGGAGATCCACCTATCATAATAACTACCACCTGGATCATGAGACTGCATCAATGGCAGCACTTTCCCAAGGACGAGCCATTGTCCCAATGCAATTAATTGCACGTGTTCCTGCTGCCATACTATATTGGCCACTTATTCAATTGGCTGGAGCAGCAACGGATGATATTGCATTGGGTGTTGCTGTTGGAAGTAAAGGAAGAGGAAACCTGCCCGGTGCTACATCTGATATTCGGGCCACACTTCTGCTACTACTTATTGGTAAATGCACAGCAGATCCTGTTGCTTTCCAGGAGGTTGGTCAGGAACAATTCTTTAGGTGATTCCTAACTTTACTCTTTGTGAAATTTGTTGGCTTTCTTACGTTATCATCTTTATACACTGACATATAAAGCATGAAATTTCTTGCATCTTGCAGGGTACTTTTGGATGACACAGATTCAAGAGTGGCATATTATTCTTCTGCTTTTCTTCTGAAGGCATGGATTTTAATTGATTTTTGGTGTTGGTTCCATATATATATATATATATATATAATATTAAATATATGTGTGTGTATGTATGTATATCATCTTTTCTAATAATTTCTCGTTGCTGCAGCGAATGATGACCGAGAAGCCAGAGAAATATCAATTCATGCTTCAGAATCTTGTTGTGAAGGCTCAACAGGTACCTCCATTTTTCATAATGAGTTGGTTCAAGTCCATACTAGTAGTAAAGCTGAGATTCAATTTTAATCTTACATTTGATGAGCTTATATCCAAATTCTGTCGTTTATATAATTCTCATGATTATGTTAATGAAACCAAAAAAAAAATGGTAACAATCAGGATTTCGAAGTTCCAGTTGCAGTGGAAAATTAGGCTAAGAGACAAGATTTTGAAACCATGCTTGTAAAAGTCATTATATCAGAATATTAGGGTTATTCATTTATTGTTAGTCCTGCTATGCTATTGGTCATATCGGAATGGGTTTACTAGTGCTTGTACTAGTTATTAAAATTATAATTTGTCTTTTGAAATTATTAAAATTATTAGGGTTAGGTATGTTTTTAGTCCCTCTTTCAAAGTAAGGTACATTTTAGTCCTTCTATTTAAAAAAAAACGTTAATTTTTTATCCTCCCGGGAGGACAAAAAATTAAGTTTTTTTTGAAGGAGGAGGACTAACATGTACCTTACTTTGAAAGAGGGATTAAAAACAAATTCTCTTGATAGTTTAGGGACTAAAAATATATTTAACCCAAATTATTATAACGAATTAAAAAAAAAAATAGTGGTAATAATCTAAATCTTATTGTTATCTCAAGTATATTGGTTATTCAATATTAATATCATCCTTATTATTTAATGTACACATTATTACCTCAATGTATATTAAATGTGTATCTTAATATAAATAATTACTAATATGTTAATTCGCTCAGAAAGTAGGTAATATACATTGAGGGTATTAATATCTCAAGTAAAATGTTATCTCAAAAAAATTGATATCATCCACATTGGTTATTTAATATATAATTTATATATTAATAAGCTTACATGTACATGTCAATATGATATAAAAAACTCACTTTTGTAAAATGAAAAATTGGAATGAAAAAAGACTTATTAATTTAATCATTCAGTATTTTATATGCTTGTTGCTTTTGTTTAATTTACATTTTTAACAATATTAAAACAATCAAGAAAATAATAGATTACATAAAAATAATATTAGTATTAGATATTCTACATATTAGATATTATACATTAAAGAAAAACCAGAAAGATAGAAACAAATGATTCAAATAGATACGAACCTATGTTAAGGGCGCAATAATTTTTGAGCCAAATAACTCATTTCTTTCCCTCCTGCTGGTCTACTTAATGTCCTATTAGAGGACTCTAGATTTGTTGTTTAGTTCCTTTTTTTTCCTTTTGTTGGTTTATTTCCGTACTGCACCCGCCCAAAAGTATGTGCCATGAACAAATGGTAAAAAAGGCCACTTTTGTGGGTACGAAAGATATTGCTAAGGTGAACAGAAAAAACCGTGCACTTGCAATATTTTTGGTGGATTTAATATTTTGTGTTGCTTAAATTATCAAATGTTGTCTTTGCAATGTAGAGTAACAATGAAAAACTGTTGGAGAATCCATATCTTCAAATGTGTGGCATACTTCAACTCGCAAATGATCTTGGGATTGACCTGTGATCTTCAAGGCATGACTTTCTGGGAGGCTATATTATACGGGGTAGGACATCTGCATTGGTTTGAGGAATTGTCGCTATTCGTTCTGAGGAAAAACTTCCGTCGTTGGATTTACTCAGATTGAAATACGTATACATATCCAGGGCATACTTTATTCTTGCAACATAAATGCGATTGATTGTCAGCATTGCAGAGTACAATTGTATCCAGAGAAAGAGAGCCAGTGGAATTGATTGAACTCTTAATATTAATTAATTACTTTGAGAAGTAATTAAGAGAACTAGGAAACATACTGCATGGTATCAATTCCTGTATCTCTTCAGTGATATCACTAGTTTGGAGTGCAATGTTGTATACTTGTATCTGCCATTATTTCAACTACAGGGGGAAGACAGAGTTCTGTTAAGGGATAAATTTGAATGTCCCTGATTTTGACTCAACTGTTGAAATTCTTGGTCTGCCACCAGGTTCGCACCCTCTCTTATTTTTTTCCTGCTTTGTTGGGATATTGACGCCTTCTTGTCTTTAGTCGAGATATTAGTACTCTGGCCTGAGTAGATGTCAATACAGCAGCTAAACTCTGATATTCAAAATCTTGTGACGTGTTTTGACATGATCATTTTGTGTGCATGCAGTTGCTGGCGGGCGTACATTACTTTCCAACCAAAATGTGTGCAGAACTACATAAGATTGTCTCTTGTACAGGCCATAGATTCCCACCGAGCCTTCTTCAGTTTTTTTTTTTTTTTTCATTCATGAAGGCCGCCTCTATGCTTTCTTTTTTTACTCTGGCATACAGGACCTTTCATGGGAAAAAAAAGGAAGAACTCAATTTTGTGCGTTGTCAATATAATCACAGGTCCAACAAAATCCTTTGATAGGGGCATCATGGGATGTCTACTTTTAGAGGCATCCAAGTTGCTCCCATTTTCTGTAAATATGTTATTATTTTTCCCCCCTTTTGATCCAACATTTATTGCGAAAACTGTAACATTAATTGAGAAATTAATATGTACTAATGTAGATGATTTATACAGAATACCGGGCTTTGTGATGGAAATGATTGTGAAGGACAGTTTGTGATCTAACAACCCCTCATAATCCTTCATGGTTTCATTTTTTTTTTAATATATTTGCAATTAACGCAAAGTTTTGGCCACTATGTAAACTTATGTTGATTCTTGTTCTTATTATAAGACAGATGATTTGTATAAGATTATGTATTCCTTGCTCATTAATCTTGGTATGTGAAAGTTTTTGCCTCACAATTGCTTCTCAGTCTCAATTTCAAAGGTTTTGGTCTCTGGATGTCAGTCCCGAAGGTGGGGTTAGCTGCAAAGATACATTGACCTTCAAATTATTGTGCGGATACAGTCATCGGTTCAGTGATAGTATCCGTGACCAATACGTTGGAATAGTTATCTGTATTAATGGACCTCTACTTGAATGAAGCTTGGGATAGATCTGTCATTTTTAATCTTGGTATAGTTGTTGTTTAGTTATAATGATTGGTTTTAGATGTTTATTATTGTATGATTGGTTACATAAATATTGTATCGAAGTGTCTTTGTCTTTGCATAGTACTTACCAGTAAGATCGGTACTTCTCCTTCTTGATAATTCTAAACTTTGGTATTTTTCAGTCTAACTTGATAATTCTAAGCTTTGTTTGATACTTCTTGATAAGGTTGATACTTCTCTGCTTGGCCTTATTTGTTATTTCTAGGTAAAATGATACTTGTTGACAAGACTAGTACTTGTTATTTCTTAGTAAAATGATACTCGTTGACAAGATTAGTACATTCTCGACAAGATGGTGCTAGTGGACAATACTAGTACTTCTCAAGAAAACAAGTACTTTTTGACCTTGCTTGATATTTTTCAGCCTAGCCTGAAAAATCAAGACTAACATGTTATTAGTTTATTAATTCATTTAATGGTTTATGAATAGTGTACACTACACTACTCTCTAGTCCCAATTGTATTACTCTTTGACTAAATATCATAAAATAAATTTAGTATACAATAATTTTGACTTATTTTAACATGGATTGGTGCGAGTTGTAGACAGGTTGATTGCATCAAGGACCTATGAAGTCGAGAAACCTTACCAAAGCTAAGAGTGTGCATTTAAATCCAAATCCCGATGCACTACAAGACATGCTGGTAGTTACGCCTACTTATCATCTTTGTTGGTTTGTTTCAATCAGGTCAAATTATTGCGTTGCTTACTACGGATCCAAAGAAAGATGATATACTATTTTGTTTGAATTCTAATTTCGTCAACCCAAACTGACCGGTAACGAACTGTGTCCGCAGTGTTTCGAAAAACATATGTCCAAACGTCAAACTAATCTAGACAGCAGAGGTAAGATTTTGCAACAAAATTACTATTGTGTTTATATCCGATGCTTTTCTGACACATTTAGGCATAATACGATTCATATGGCTATCAATGATTATCTGACTTTCCATTTTGTTCTTTTATCCGCTTAGCCTCTAGGTGATACCTCTCCAAATCATCATCAAGATCTTTAGCAGTTACTTCTCTATTACTGCTCTTTACTTTTGCGTGGTATCTCGGAACGCGGTGAGGCCTCTCCAAAGCATCATCCATATCTGTTAAATATAACTCTCGAATATATCCATTCTCTTCTCCACGGACCCTTGGAATGTAGTCATGTACAAAGTCGTTGTGGAACCCCCTACCTCTAACTCTTTCTCCTTTGCTGCAAAAAACGAAGTACGGAACTTACAATCAATAAGAGTTACTTAAGAAAAGGGACATTCAGGAATAAACCTCACCATGTCTAATCACAATTACATGGAATCACCACGGTAACATGTTAGGAAATGTGAATCCAAACCCCGCATACGTTTAACCCCTTATTTATTACGAATATTCACTTACTCAGAAAAAATAACTACTTAAATTTCTAATTTTACTCAATATCTAAAATGAACATGACGTGATTTCATGTAACAAGAGAGCAGCTTCCATGTTCACACCTTAGAAGTGAATCACTTGGTCTTCCCAGTAAGCTATTTTGACGAAGAGAGGAAACAAAAGAACTACTAGTTCCAACTAGCTCAATTTGCAATGGTTTTCCATCAAGCCTCATATTGTTGTATTTCTTGATGGCTGATAAAGCATCAGAGTGTCTCATAAACACAACTTCTGCTGTTCCCTTTGATCTCCCGTTCTGATCATAATGAATGGAGCATCTTTTCAATTCACCCTCTTCCGAAAACAGCAGCTGTAGAAGTCATACTTAATTTTCAATTATTTATAGTATTTGCAGACCCAAAAACAAAGGCTATCTCTAATCACAATTTTTTGAAGAGTTCTACGACGACAGAAAAATTATATATGCTTCAAACATCATTTGAGTATCATGTAGCAATAGAGGTTTGAGGGAGCTGCGATTTGGGTACATGTCATAGGTTCATATTGCAGTAATGTCTCCTTGATGTACCTCAATATAGGAGAAAGAAAATTGAGACATGACCAAATTTCAAATTCATAAACCAGCAGAATGAAAGGGCTGTCAGCATAAATGCCATTTAATTTAATAATAGAATAAGTAGTAACATCCTCTGCACCTCTCCACGGACGCAAACTTTCAGTAATAGAGTTGCGAGCATGGTGCTACACACTTGAAGGTAGACAAAAAATTATGGCACCAATAAGTACAAAAAAAGTTGAGAACAGAATAAACAAATGTAGTAAGCACTGTTAAGAATCAAAACAAAAAAAAAATATTATAGAGTGAAAGGTGTTTAGGTCCATCGATTTGGGAATTTCATCTCTCTTCACGAAACATAAGACCATAAGAAAGGTGTGAGGAAAACTGGATCACAACACATAAAAAAAAAAGACAGAAGACGTTAAAAAGGGAGGGAGCGAATAAAGCAAGAGAGAGTTTATTGTGTAGAAGATGGTGACAAAACCTTTATATCACCGTTTGAAACTCCAAGATCCAAGTTAGATATCAAGAGTTTGGTTCCGCTTTCGATCATAGCGGCACCGTCATCTTCAAAATCCATTTCTGGAATCATTCCGTGATACCTTGCCTAACAATCAAAACGGTGAGTCACCACTAGCTCTCTTTTCTTGTTCATAGTAACAATAAAGAAAATAGAAATGAACTACTGAGAGAAAGAAATGAAACCCTCACTCACCAGAGGAACGGGATACGGCGTCGTTCTGACCGGGTTGCGAACAAATGTGTATAGCCGGCGAGACGCCGCCGCCTTGGCGGAGTACCTCATAATGTCGTCGAGTGACATGTCAATGCCGGAGACCATTGTCGTCGGAAAAAATAAGAGTGAGGGCTTAGAATTTTGGAAAGAGTGCAGGGTCTCTATGGAGGGCGTTTACGCTACTCTCATGATATTTGAACATGGTGCAGTGTGAGTGAGAGAGAACCGTATTCGGTGTATTAGCCATTCCACGCATTCATTTGTTCTACAATCCACAGTAGTCAGATAACAATCACACGGCCATTATTTTATCTCCGTAGATCAACTTAAAACACACAGTCCATGGTATCATCCGTTGATATTGCATCCAACAATTATTAATGCGCCAAGATATTATAGTTTCATTGACTCTGTTTCCGAGGAAGATTGTGTCTGGTGTGGTGATATTCTACCCATACTTTATGAATTTCCGCTGATATTTGGACACGTGTCATAGGACAAAATTGAATTATTAATTGACAATGAAATTAAATATTTATAGATAACTTTTATATGCATGATTTGTTGATGACAAAATTCCAAAAAAATTTAAGGTTTATTTTGTGTTAAAAATATTTTGAATTAAATACTTTTTAAAAAAAATATTTGAAAATATTCAAACTTTTAAATATATTTTTAAAGGTTCATTTTAAAAGTATAACTGTCTATAACCAATTTATTTTAAAACATAAATGTAATAAACTCGAAACTAACTTAATTTTCATGTGGTCTTTAAACTGTAATTAATTAACGCGTGATCGAAACTAATATTTAAGGGGGGAAAATGAATTATTGTCGATTAATTAAAAACTAGTTGGGATGTATTTTTTTTAAGAAATGCGAGATATTATGATAAGCTGATAAATAAAAAGAGAATTATTGTAAAAACTTAATAAACTTATCATCCATGATACTTTTGTCCTTTGATGAAATTATTCCGCCATGTATTTTCGTTCAAATTAGAATAGGAAAAAATTCTTTATTTCCCAAAATAGAAAGCTAGAAAAATCAATATGTTCTTAGTGTTAGCAATAAGTCATTATTATAATTCATTAGGAATAGTAATAGGTACGAAATTTATCCATTATCCAACTCGTATGAGAAACTAAGGAAAAGAAAAAGAAATAGTTGGAAGAGAAGATAAATATCGTTTTTGTATTCTCATAAATTTCTAATAGCACGATATTGATAACACAAGACAAAACCTGATACGAAAAAGAGACAAAAATAAAAATTATAACAACTTAAACCTAAAAATAAAAATATAATTTCATATCCCTAAGAAAGTGTAGGAAGTGATTATGGAGATGAGAAAAGAAACACTGTATTGAAATTCTTATCTAAAGGCTGGACCAATCTTAAATAACATAAATTCATAATTTATTTTATAATTAAATAAAAAACCAATTAACTAACTGTTTTATCAAATTTATAATTATTTTTTCAACCTGACCATTTTTTTTAACTTAATATCTTTTTAAACTAAAATAACGATAAAAAATTATCTACAAAACTAATAAAAAGTATCCACAATAAAATCATAATTTTTCATATATATGCCATTATAATAATAATGATTTTTTATTATCATAAAAAATAAAACATGTATTTCCACTGATAACAATAATAAAGAAAATATCTCATTCAATTTATAGATTTCGTTAAATTATTATACTTTTCCAATTTTCGTTCAAACCAACTTATATGTTCAATATTTAAGCTCAAATTAAAGATAAAAAAATGTAAAAAAGAAATGAAATTTAATATTTTTCTGAAAATATTTTGGACTGATTTCCCGAAAAAATAAAAGAAAAGAAAAATGAAAAAAAGAAAGAAAATGGTCTGATCCCAAACTGCAAAAACCGAAAGAAACTGAGGACATAATAGCGATTTCAGATTCTGTAAATCCCCGCCCCCGAGTTGTATCGTTTTCTGTTCGCTTTCCTCTTCAATTTCTAGAGAGAGAAACCAAGAGAGAGAAACCAAGAGAGAGAATCGCACTCACCATGGACCAGGCTGTTCGCCTCCGACCCTCCACCACCACCCCTGCGGCGGAGAATCTTCACCTTCCTAAGCTCCCTCCCAAAACTAGAGAGGAGGGCGAACTCTCTTCCGACGCCGACGACGATGCCGATGTATTCTTCTTCACCGAACCCTACCTTTTTCTTCTTTTTTCATTCTCCAATTCTCTGTTTTCGTATGGTACAATCGCTGACTTTGTTCTTCTTCTTTTTCTCTTCTTCTTTTTCTCTTCTTCTTCTTCAGTCCCGCCATTTGTTCTGTTTGTCTCTCAGTCACACTATTTTATTTATTTATTTATTGTTTCTTTTTTATTATTATGAATTCATCGAAGATGGAAGAGCGTGAAATTTTGATTGCATGTGTTGCTATTGACTTCTTGCTAATTTAAATTTATCATTTCTTTGTTTAGTTTTGTCTAATGTGTAATTTGTGTGCACCAGGATAACGTTGAAAGCTCTAATGTGCAATCCACCCATGCCGTTGGGACTGGTTCTGTTCCATCGGTGCGAAAGAATACACTGGGCGTTCAGGGTGGTGAGATTTGCTAATTTTCTATTAAAGGAAAAATCGAGTGTGCTATCAGCCTTATGTTGTTGGATATCTGAATAGTTCATACACTCTTTTCTACTTAGAGCTTCACTCTTCTCTTCTTGGCGTCATCTTGAACTCCCCGTGGGTATATATGACTTGTACGGGTACTGGTCTGGTTTATGGATATGAAAACATCATCTGGAGTTTTGCAAGATTTGGAAATGGGTGTATCTGATGATATATGTATCTATGATTGCTTATATGATCTTTAGTTTTACAACTTGATTGCTTATATGAGCTTTTCAATGTATTTTTCTTGGAAACCTTTTTGGTTTTTTTTGTGCATCAAGGATATTTACTCTTGGTTTACTGTGCATATCATCTTCCAAAAATCATTTACCGGCTCATACAGTATCTAAAGGATAAACTTTTATGGCAATATTTTACAGGCTCCACTAATGTACAGTTGCAAACTACCGGACAACCAACTACGCAGAAGGACTTAAAAAAGAACCAATTACTTCCTAAATCTTCTCCATGGACTGGTCATGTCAGCACTGATAAAAATCTTGTGATAAGCTTCTCTGATGATGACAGCGGTAGCGACCATGAAACGAAAGGTAATGTATCCAGGTTAGATAACAGTGTAAAGGGGACTAACTCATCCTTGGGAAAATCTAACAAGTTAAAGCAAACAAGTTTACCCAAGGAAGTGCCCAAGAGATCATCCTTAAGTCGCACCTTTGTCTCATCAATGACCAAAATCCCTGGATCTAATTCTAAGGGTGTTGGATCCATGCCACCAGTACAAGGATCAAGAGCTAGAAATTTCAATCTAATGAACAAAAATTTAGTGCGAGGATTGGATCAAGGATTGGTGTCAAATGACAATAAACTTCAGGATTTGCGGCATCAGATTGCAATTCGGGAAAGTGAGCTCAAGCTGAAGGCAGCCCAGCAAAATAAGGAGAGTGTTTCAGTTTTGAATAGAGACCACAGTGCCATGAACCCAAAGAAGTCAGTGTCAATGTCTAGAAAAAGTACTCCTGTTTCCTCCGGACCTGCACAATTTGAGCCAACAGAGCCAGCTAAGAAGCGTGTGAAACTTAGCACATCTAATGGTGTCTCTCAAGCTGTTAATAATCAGCAACAAATTCCAGCCGTTAAATCTTTGTCGCCAGCAGAAACATTAGGAAACTATTATCCTCAGGAAAGAAACAAGGTTGATCAGGGCCAAAAAGATATTCCATTACGTAGAGCAGAGCCAAAGTCCGGCATATCTCGAAGGCAACCCGACAATCATGTTGACAATCCATTAGAAAATATGCCTCGTAGATCAAGTGATGGTAAATACTTTTTCTTCATATTAACTTTGGTCTGCAAATTGGCTCATGAACTTTCTATTCTGGATTTTAAAAATTGAAGGAGGGTTTTAATCAAGCTACTTGTACTCTACATCAGATTCCTAACCTAAAATTGAACTAATGTTTCCCATTTTGTTTTTATCTTTTCAACAATCCTTTAGCTTTTATGATGCAGTATTTTCATTATCATATGTCCAGATTCTGGCCTCAGTTTTTAGCAAAAGAGCTTCCAATTGCATTGCAATTTTTATATCACACATATTTAGTCAAAATATAAAATTGTATTGCCATGTCATATGAATTTGTAGAGTGTTACTGTCTAATCGTATTTGTCTATTGACTTAAATGACTTGAGTAAGTATTACAGAGCCAATCACTTGATGGCAACCTAGCCCAAACACCAGACGGTCAAGCATGTTTAAGTTGTTTTCTGTTCATAATCTCTCATGGTCTAACTATACTGTGTAGGTGATGTCAATTATGGTTCCAATCAAACTGAGAAGAGTAGTAGGCTGGTGAACCCTTCTGGTGTTGCTTTGAACCAAAATGCAGTGCCGGCAAATAGCAATTCAAATACCGTGTTAAAAAATTTTGTGAGTTTTAGTTTATTTTATATGACATTTTCCTTTCTACTTTGTGACTTCACTGAAAACTCCATCATTTGATCTTTGTAATAGTCTGACTTTCTGGTTTTTATTTATGAGTGAAGTATTAACCTTTTGAACTTGTTATTGCTGTGCCTCTTCATTGTTTTTCTTAAAACAGTGTAGGTCCCAGTAGGTCATAAGATCAACCAAGTTAAACGTTAAACAACAAGACAGCAGTGTTTCTAATTTATTTTTGAAATTTTCTATATCGTGATTCTGTTGTCTTTAACAATACCAAATAGTGTATGGTTTGTTTATGCATCAAGTTCCTCCCTGAATAAGTTTCTGGTATTAATAAACATTGAGAAAAAGAGGCCTATGATATGTATGACATTATAGTCTTCTGTGTTTGACTCTCTTTCCTCTCTTCTCTCATGTAGCAAGCATTAAACAATACAGTTCTTTTGAATCATAATGGCAATGTAAATGCCTCAGAGCACAGCAATCTAGATTTACAGTCATTTTTTGGGATGGAAGAATTGATAGACAAGGAACTAGAGGAAGCTCAAGAGTACCGGCACAAATGTGAAATTGAAGAAAGAAACGCTCTCAAAGCTTATCTTAAAGCTCAGAGGTCTTTGCTTGAGGCTAATACACGATGCACCAATCTTTATCATAAAAGGGAATTG